ATGTGTATGTATGTGTACGTATGTGTACGTATGTGTATGTATGTGTATGTATGTGTATGTATGTGTCTGTGCATGGCAGGGTGCACCTGTGGAGGCTCAAGGACAACTTGAGGGAATCAGTTCTCTCCTTCTACCAAGTGAATCCTGGGGATCAAATTCAGGTTGTTAGGTTGGGTGGCAAGGACCTTTTTACCCACCAAGCCATCTCACTGGCTATTGTGTGACACTACTCTTGGGAAGATGTAAACGAATCTTTATTCACTCCAGATAGGGAGTCGGTGACAAAAGTATACTCATACTTCTGTACCACAGAAGTCCGATTGGTGACCCAGTGAGTTCTACTGGGGTTACTTGCAGGAGCAGAAATGACTCAAAGACAGCTGCAACACTAACACTTACCCGAGCATGGATGGCAGCTCCCAAAGTTGGCGGCTGGAGCACACCACACAGCCTGCAGGGAGTTCAGTGTGTTGGTTTGGATGTCAGACAGAGAAAGATCTGGAAGGTCATATAATCCTAATTCCTTCCGACCCCAGGTGGTTCTGACTCTACAGGCCGGAGAAAGCAACCAAGAAGTTGAAGGGACAGTAGCTGATGTCACTCTGGAGCAAGTCCCCAAAGGACTGTGTGGAGAGGAGCACCTGCATTCTAGGGAGTCACAAACTGTCACTCACATCCTCCTCAGACTTTGAGCTCTCACATATGACACTGGCAGTCTCATGGAGGGTTAGGGCGGTATCTGCTTAAGACCAGGCCTTACCAATCCACCTGGTGCCAATCTCCCGAGAAGCTCAGGATTCTTAGTTTCTGTAGTGCTTCAGTTAGTTATGCCCAAAGCCTGCACACGCTGTGTGCTGAGCTGTGCAACAGACAAAGAAGCTCTGTTTTTGTTTTTTAAATCTGTAGAAAGAAGCATGGTAGAATAGCCTCCTGTGTCCCGCATGTGTATCAGAGAGAGCAAGGTGACAGCATCTTCATAGTCCATAGACCACCCTTAGCTCCAAGAAGGAAGGAGGCCTCCTTCAGAAGCAAGCTCTGGCTAGACACTGGTGAGTTGAAGGCCTGAGTCACAGACATCAGGTAGCAATCTATTCAAGATGGCTTTAATCCTGTGCTGTTTGGTTTGAACCTGGTTCCTTGTGTCCCCTAAGAGTTCAGGTGCTGAAAACTTAGTTCCCATTGTAGGGTCTCAAGAGATGATGTGATTGAGAAGCAGGAGACAACTGGAAAGGTGATTAGGTCTCCGGGGTGTTGTCCTGGGAAGGGACAAATGCTATAGACTGGGTGAGTAGGTCCCCTGGGTGAGTGCTGGAGATAACCCACACAGTGAGAGGCCAAGTGAGTCTTGCTGTTTTCTGTCTCTCTGCTGGTGTCCTCCACAGAGGCTAAAAATTGAGGCAGCAGGACTTTGGACCTGGAACCTTCAAAATGATGAGAATTTTCTTTATAAATACTCAACCATGGTTATTTTATCACAGCCTTATGAAAAAGAATAATATATTTTACACTTTTCAGAGCATGCCCTATAACAAGAGAGCCTGGACCTGCTGGGCCTTCTATAAATCTCAGCATCATGAGGAACCTGTATATATTCTTCTGCGTATGCCTGGTGATGTGCACCTGGGACCCATGTGAGGACATGACTCATTGATGGAACAGTAAGGCACAGGGGCTTAGGACTGGCCTCAACGAGACTCTTTGGTGACTGATGTGGGAAAGGACTTCCAGAAATGTCCACAGAGCAGAGGCACAGGACAGGTCCTAAAGCTCCAGGACCCTGGGTCTCCACTCCATGTAACACCGAATGGGAAAGTAACTGGGTTCAGAACTGGGTAGTTGATATTAGGATAAATTGAGTTCTGGTTCAGGCCAGGTCCTACATGGATTTCCAGGCTGAACTTCTGTTCACTGTGAAGGGTGGGAAGCCTCATGACAGCCTTGGAGATAGATAGTTTTATTTTTGTCTTCTAGATGGGACACAGAGGCCAAAAGAAGCATGGGGACACACATACACTGGACAACTGCTCCATGTCCCCAGCACTGGGGAGTAGGGACAGATTCTACTATTTAGAGCCAGTGTGGTCCTCAACAGACCCTTAGTGTTCCTGGCCCTACTCTGTTCCATGTTCCTGAGGAGTTCAGTCTGGGAGGTCATGTATGTGCCCTGTGGACCCTGTCCCATCAAAGTGACAGACACTCTGGTGTAGTGACTGTGGTCTTTTAGTGTTATCTAATGCATTCTGCAGGGCATTTTGGCAGCACCACAATTGAACTGTGGTATATTAAAGTTCCAGCAGTTGTCCCTGCAACATCCTTCCACCCAATCAGACCCAACCTCGAATCCAAAAATTCAGGCTCCCCTGTGAATTGCAAGGCTTTTATTGTTGGATTCCTGTTTTTAGACACCTGGGGGGAAGGGGTAGGGCTTCCCACATCTATGCAGGAGAGAAGTCAAGTGGCTTCCTTGGAAGCAAAGGTGAATCCATCAACATACCGGGCTGGCGTCTATTCTTTCCTGCAAAGAGAAAGACAAGTCAGGCCTCAGAGGTAAAGGAGACCTGAGGCCCCATTGTCCATGCACAGGGACACCTCCTGGAAGGACCTGCACCTGGTTCTGCAGTTGCTCTTGGCTCTGACCAGGGCCAGGGAGCCTTGTCCCTAATCTATTGAGACAAGGTCTGTAAAAAGCCCCCAATGGAGACAGATGGGAAGAGCCAGCTTGTGAGACATCATAGGCACAAGTGGGACAGAAGGGGCTCCAGGTGAACCTGTGGGCAGCTGGTGCCCCACAAGGGAACTGACTCCTGTCACATGATGATGATGACCCTCAGACACCTGCAGCTGAGGCAATGACTGATCCTACTAGTTCTAGGGACAAGAAGGGGTTCACTTTAATTCCACCCTTAAATGTCTAGGCCTGGCGTCCACACAGTGGCCTTGGAGGTGCAGAGAACAGGAGAACAGATGAGTGTTGTGGGGCTGGGGCTGTAGGCTTGAAAAGTTAGGATAAAGATCCAGGATGGAGAAGGTCCCAGGCCCTGAGGATTTGCAGCTACACGTGGGAGGCTGTGTCAGGAAGGATAATGGAGGTCAGAGATCTAGTGTGGCTAGCCTGAGCTGAGCAGCCAGGCCATGCTCATGAGGTCTGAGAGTCCCTTCCTGCCCCATCCTCCTATCATCCTCATCAGGTGTGTCACATTTCTGGATTCTCAGAGAAGCTTCAGTGGTGGGGAGGAGCACAAGCCCCACCCCTAGCCAGACACAGAGACTCACGATGAGATTCATTGCATGTGTCTTGTCTTCCTCTGTCAAACTGTTATCGACACATTTTTTGATTTTTCCAGCATTTTCCAGTATGAGACGGCTATCTTTGTATTGCTTCACGAATGAAAGATACTCTTCTTGAGACCCGTGAAGAAATAGTTCAGCTTTTTGTTTTATAACTGGGCAAATGCCACAATCTGGAACACAAAGACAAGGTGACCCTCCCTTGAAAGACAGGCATCAGCACACCCATGGGATGGAGGGTGTGAGAGCCTGGAGAGCCTGCATCCCTGACCCCACACAGTAATACCCACCTCCGCCTGAAGTCAGGAGCAGGGCGGCCCCAACGAGCACCAGAACACCAGCGAGCTTCATGGTAATGGTGGCAGGTGTTCCGAACCAACTCCGTCCCCTTTTATAACTGCCCTGGGCTGCTCAGTGGGGAAGGTGGGTCCCATGTCTGAGCCTCTCCAGGCCCCTCCCAGGATATGTCTTGGAACTTACTGAGGCTGTGTGTTTGTGTCTTTTGGAGGTGTTTATTTTGGCAGGACAATAAGATCCTGGCCAATAAGCTGCTTAAGCTTAGTCCCCTTCATAGTGATCTTCCTACGGTCACATGTCATTTGACAGTCAAAGGATAGTAGGAGTAGGGAAAAGGTCAGATATCTTCTCAATCACAGTGAGGCCTGTGTCCCCCTGTCACACTGGGGACCTCAATGTTTAGTTAAGAGCCTTACTCACAGTCAGTGTCTAGACAAGCCGGACCTCAGACCACTGACCATTGTGACCCCTGCCCTGTCTTTGTCCTGCTCCTATCCTTTATTTGCTCCGTGGCTTCCCTTGAACCAGTCTCTGAACCCAAGCTTCTCCTGCTGTTGTAGGTGTTCTTCAACTTGACCTTTCTGTTGTTGCTTATTAGGCGCTCTCTCTCTCTCTCTCTCTCTCTCTCTCTCTCTCTCTCCTTTCCCACTCTCTTTGAGACAGGATCTTGCCCAGGTTGTTTTGAGCTCATAACCCTCCCGAGAAAGGTGTGTGTATTTGTGTGTGCGTACGTGCATGCATGCGTGTGTGTGTGTGTGTGTGTGTGTGTGTGTGTGTGATAGATCCAGCTTTCCTTGGGGCTGGTGGTAAGCACTGTCAAAATCTGTTAGTAATGGCCAGCTATGGTGACTCACACCTTTGATCCTGATTCTTAGAAGACAGAGGCAGGCTGGTCTCTGTGAGTTAGAGGTCAGCCTGGTCTACACAGAGAGTTCCAGGTTAGCCAGAATTACACAGCAAGACCCTGTTAATAACCATCATTAGTGTGTTCACACTGAAAGTGCCTCGTGTTCATTGTCTCATAACTAAGCAAGAACATTTCAGTTTGGAGAGACCTGACCCCCTAATTGGCCACTGCCAGACTCTGCATTGATGCTCTAGCTACTCTGACTACTGGTCAAAAAGCCCAATAGGATGGGCATTTTGAATATTCCACAGCTACTCTGGAAAAACTAGAGTCCAATCTTAGCTGGATACCCCAGCCCTTTGAAGGCTCAGTGTCAGTCCATCTGTGCCAGGGTGTCTAGCTGAACTTTGCTACCACAGAATTCCAGATGACCCTTCCACCATCTCTATCTGGGCCAGAGGGGGACCATGTCTAGTGAAGGGATTGTGAGGAATGCTAAGAGCAAGCCTGTGTTAAGCCCCAATGCCCCTCCCACCTATGGAAACAGACTGCTTAGGCCTATTCACTCAGCCAGGTGACACACTCACAATGACTCCTCTGGTATAGCCATTTTGGTTTCATGAAAGGCTTCTGTTGAGCAGTCTCTTACTTGTCCTGCTATCAGGAGTGTGGGCTGAACAGACTGCAATGGAGGAGACAGCAAAGGCTGAGGCAGGGGTGCGAAGGCTGAGTGGTCAGCAGGTTGAGCTGTGAAACAGGCCAAGCGCCTTGCTGTCATGTGGTAGCTGAAGCATTGGACAGGGGAAGGGCAGGAGACAGTAGGGTCATGAAATAAAGAGAGGACAGAGGCAGACACTGAGGAAGGAGAAAAGGGATCCAGAGGACAGAACATTTAAGGCCTATTTCCAGAAGCTAGGGAGCTGTGCAGTCTTTGGAGACTCCAGCAGGGTTTAGAGCCCCCTTACTGCAGAATGCCAGGGAGGCTCGGCTCCCTGTCCATGCTGTGGAGGAATCTGCAGCATAGCTAGGCCTCTGGGTCCCATGCTTGTGTGAGGACTGCTCTCCAGAGGGTAGCACTGCTGTCTCTACCACCTGCCAGCTGTTGGGGTTAATCTTTTCCTGCTGTATTCAAATGCTAAGTACTGGATCCCAGGATCTGGACAGCCCCCACCCTCTGATTCTTTGGTAATCTGGTAAGCGAATTCTCTAATACACCAAATGTTGCTTTGTCAACTCTGCTCCTCTTATTCTTTGGTTAAATAAATGTGTCTGAAAGCCAATTCCTAGAGAGAAGAGAAGTATTCTGGGCTTTGGTTACTGGGCTTGGGGTCACCAAAAGGGACCATGAGGAGAATGAAGAGGAGAGAGAGGAGAAAGAAGATGGAGAGAGGGGAAGGCTACCATGAGGCCTGATGGCTCAAGAGCAGGTGAACAGGAGAAGTGGACATGAGGACAGGCTGATGGAGCAGAAACAAGCCTGGGGGACACTTAAAGAGCAATAACACGGGGCCTATGGATTGGGTGTAAGTTAGAATAGCTCAGAACCTGCCCAATCCAGGCTTATAGCTCTTCAAATAAAATTCCAAGCCTTTGTGTCTTTTATAGAGGCTAGCTAGAATATATACTTCATTTTCAGCCAGCTTCTGCTCACTGCTGCCAAACATGGAGGGCAAAGAAAGAGGCCAAAGCCAGCCTTGGAGAGCAGTCCCTTGGCCCAATTTCTATTTTGTGAATAAGGGGATTTAATTTAAGGGTTCGTTGGAGAATCAATTTTGTTGGATGCTGTTTTGCTGGAGCAAAGATGTGAAGGAGTATCCTGAAGTAAACAGAGGTGAAAGGCAAAGGCAGACTTTTGAAGGAACATTTGGCTTAAGTAGACACAGGTGAAAGGATTTTCTGCTACAGCAAGCGTGTGAAAGGACACGTGATGATGGATTCTTTGATAATGACACACATGTATTTGGTCCGACTTACACTGTATGGTTGAGCTTCATTTGTCAGGACTCCATAGAGAGAAAGGTACCAAAAAAAGTTCCGGTGGTGTGTTGCAGTTTCTTTCCTCTTCAGTGGACTTGGGCAGATTGGCAGAGTGATGTCAGCGGAGACAGACTCACGTGCTGAAGGGAGACCCGTAGAGGACACATGATGCTTGGAAGGAATATAAAAAGAACTTGACAGTGACAGAGGTTGAGCTAGACTTGCTGGTACAGCTAACTGTGTAACGCTTTTTGGTCTTGGATCTTTGCTGATCTTCTATTCCCTGAGAGAGGCACATCGGAGAACTCCTGGGATTCTTCCCTGATCCCTCCTGCTGTCCCAAGCCGCAGCTGAGGCTTGGCTGTCTCTGCTAGGTAGTGCCACCACTGTTGAATCATGTTTGCTATCCCAACTCTACCGTACTGGACGGCTGGTGTATCGGTGAAGTGTTTGCGAGTGGATTGAGCTGCTGCTGGTGACCTGTGAACTGAACTGCCGATTTCCAGACTACACAGACAGGAGCTGCTTCAAAGAACCTTTCTAAACAGGTCCATTTCCCTCGTATCCTTTCTTTTCTACTACCTCTGGTGGGTATTGGCTAAAGGGGATGTTAAAGTGTTTAAGAACCATCATTAAAAGTAAAGTTTGAAAAAAAATTAAAGTTACAGGGATCTCAGACAGGTAACTGGGGCACATCTGCCTTGGCTTCCCACAAATGGGGATCACAGGTGGGAAACACCTTGTCTTCTCCTCATTTCTTTGGACTTTGACAGTCACCTGACTGCTCTGTGTGCACCTAAACCTGGAATTTACCATTTACCTAGCATGTTTGTCATTTGGAGTGTCTCTGTATGAAGTAGGACATCATTTCTCCATAAGTATGTCCCAAGCGAGAACCAGGGGCTTCATATGCTCTGCCCTCACTGTCTGAAATGCTTTTCCTTCACCTGGGAGATGTGTCACCTAAATCCTCAGACTGCATCAAACCCCAACATATCAGAGGGAGTGCCTGCTATGGTTTCAACATGTCTAGGGCACTCACCAAACACCCACGTTGAGCCTCGGTTCCCGGTGAGGCGGGCCTGAGCATTATATGGTGGGTGCTTGAGAAGCCGGGTGGAGCCTCTGCTCTCTGTCTTCCACAATCCCCTGTTGCCCTTCTGCTGTGCACCCTGTGTTCAGACAGCACAAGGCTGTGGCTACCTGAGGTTACTCTATCCTGGACTTTCAAGATTCCAGACCATGAAGCAAATTAACTTCTTTCCATATGCATTACTTAGTCTTGGGTCTTTTGTCATAGCAACACAACACAGATTACAACCCTGCAGTGCACATCACTCCCTTGTGTATAAGAACACACCTGACCTCCACCATAGGGAAGACTGAACCCTGCTTCCTTTCCCCTAGCTCCTCTTGCACTGGCTGCCTTTTGGTGTTCTTTAGATGTCTAAAGGCTCAGGAGAGCAGGGCCTTTCTCTCTCCCAGGGTCGATATACATAGGAGGTCTTCAGAAATGCTGGTTAGACTGGCCAAAGGGCTATCTCACTCCTCTCAAGTCCATAAACAAGACCCTTCTTAAATTGTTCAACATCATCTTCCCATGTATCTCAGGAGGCTGGGCTCAAACTACCCCCCCTCGCCTCCGTTATATAAGTGTTTGTGTTTATGTAATTTGGCTGGTAGAAAAATAAAGATCGTAAGTGTTTTGATAAGTCAGAATTAAGTAGTTTGTTGTAAAGGGCACTTGAGTGTCACTTTCTCTACATCAGCCGGTGACAGAGTGAAGTTTGCTGAAGACTTACTGGTTATTGAGCCAAACAGGATTTACATCCGGTAACTGTTTTGGCCAAGTATTAATATCTACTTGTGAGCTCTCTGCTGAGCCCACTGGTCTCTGTTTGTATGACCTTGCATGTCGAGGATTGTGGAGGCCTGTAGAATGTGCCCACTGGGGACTTCTCTCTTCTGTACAGGGTTGGGAATGGAGACAAGGGCACAGTGTAGCTAAGCAACTGTCTACTGCTGGGTGACCCCACACTACTTTGCTTCTGATCATGGTGTCTTATCACAGCAACAGTAACCTTAACTAAGACACATGGCAAACATATGTGTATGCCCAAGGTGGCCAGGGAAAGACAGTGAGGTGCCTTCAGTTGTTCTCCTAGCACATAGATATGTGTGTATGCATTTTTATATACATATATGTATACATACATGAATATAAAAATATATAAGCATATGTCTGTGATTGTTTTTGAAACTTTATTTAGTTTTGTTTTATGTGTATGTGGATTGTGCCTACATGAGTGTCTTATGCAGTCATGTTTGCTTTCCCTGTGGAGGTCACAGGAGAGCACTGGATCCTCTGGAACTGGAGTTACAGATGGCTGTTAGCTGCCCTGTGGATGCTGGAAGAGAATCTGGTTCCTCTTTACAGCTGAGACTACCTCATATTTTTTGAAATAGGGCATCTTTTTGACCATGGGGCTTGCTAATTTGGCTAGATGGGCTGGCTAGTGAGCCCAGGAGTGGACTCTCTGTTGCTGAAATTACCAAGGGGCACTTTGTGCCTGGCTTTCCTCACAGGTTCTGGGGGGTGAAACTCATGGACTCAAGTGAGCACACTCAGCAAGTGCTTCACTGACTGGCCTGTCCCCCAAGCCACATGCTGTTTTCTTGAGAACTTGTAGCTCACACTGAAGGACTAAATGGAAGCCAACTCCCAGAGGGAACATCTACAGATTCTCAGGATTCTTCTGTGAGATGTAAGAACAGTGACTTTCATCTGTGTTCATTTATCTCATTCACTCATGCCAGCATGGGTCTATAGGTGATTTCACAATTATAGTACATTCCGGTATCATGTTATTTAGTTTGTTGTTCAAATTGTTTGATATTCGTCCATTAGGAACTTGTTTAGGCTTCCTCATGACAGTTTCCACAGACATTTGTAGGTGTGTGTTCATGTGTTCATGTGCTTGTGTATGTGTGTGTGTGCAAAGGTGCCATGGTGTGTGTGTGTGTGTGTGTCTGCATGTAAAGGACAGATGAAAATTTGGAGGAGTGAGTTCTCTTTTTCTCCCAGGTGGGTTCTGGGACTTGAACTCAGGTCTTCACCTTCAATCACTGCATCTTTAATCACTGAGCTGTCTCCACAGCCTTCCTCCTCATTTTTTGAAGCAAGATCTCTTATTGAACCTGGAGCTCACATGGGATTAGATGTGCATGCCACCACTTTCACAGGACCTGGGGATCTGAACCCAGGCCTTTATGCTTGCATAACAAGCCCTTGCACACTTATCCATCTCTTTGGATGACCCTGTTTATGTGTGTGATGCTGTGGAATAACCCCAGGGCTTTGCACATGATAAAAACAATACTCTACCAGTGTTGTAGGGAACTAATGACAAAATGCCAGGTGAGAAGCACAGTTTCAGCTCACAGTTTGAAGAGACACAGTCCATCACGGTGAACTAGGCACAGTGCAGACACTGGAGGTGATTGGTCACAGCTACAGTCAGGAAGCAGAGAGGCATGAATGGTTGTGCTCATCTTGTTGTCCCCTTTCCACCCCATCTATGACGATAGTCCACACTGCCACATGAAAGTCAATCTTCCCACATGAATTGACCTAGCCTAAAATCTCCCACACAGAGACTTCTTTCCATGGCAACTCTCAACCCGGTCAGAATGATCCTCAAGATGAACCAGCACACACTACAAGCAGGGTGAGCTTGCATTTAAGAGCTTCCTGTCTCGAGAAACAAGTAGTACAACACCCAGCTGACAATCTCATTTCTGCTGAAAATGTCTTCCTTAGGGTAAGTAGGTTGATCTGACCTTGAGACTGTCTACACACAGCACTGCCTGTGGGCTGTGTAGTAGTGTAGTTTACAGCCAAGCAGTCTACAGTAGCCTATAGTTGTAGACAACTGAGAGTCCATGTACAGTGGTGAATCCCTCACTCTACTGCTCACTGCTCTCACCACATGGACCCTGCTATTCAAACCCCTTTGTGACATGCTTACTGACAGAGCTGAGAGGGGGGCAAGGCAAGCAGGAAAGAGGAATGAGCTACCGTGGAGTGAAGCAGAATTTGTGGTACAAAACCATCACCAGCCCCCAGGATACCCACAGCTGGGGACTACCCCGGCTGAGTGTCACGGAGAGCTACAAGGTGCCTCCATGTACCCAGGGATCCAGTTCAAAGGCTTCAGCAGCTAAGATGGTCAAGGGGCTCTACTATGGCCCAGAAATGCATACTTCTGCTCAGACCTTGACCTCAGGCACATCCACTGTTTTGGGTTTTTGACTACCTACAGAGATAGAAACCCTCCTTGACCCCTGTGCCTTTCTGTCCTAACTTGGAGAGGACATGTTTGGAGCCAGGAGAGGTGAGGATGTCACCAGGAAGCAGAGTTGACAAGTGGGACACCACACGAGCTGCTTACAAAGGTCAGCTCTAACCCCTCTTTGGCTAAGGTACAAAGAACTTCTTTCCAGAAGCTGATGATGTCAGGTTGTCTCAGGCTGTTTGTTCTTCAGATTGGGAGGGGCTCCCAAGCTCCCTCTTCTATGCAAGTTGGAAGGGAATCCACAGGTGATAGGTTCTTGCCCAAAGGTATTTGGAGCTGTGGGAGGCAGGGTTGGGGGTGGGCGTGGCTGGGCTCAGGGCTACAGTGGTTTATAAGGAGGAGGATCCGCTCTGAGAAGGAGGATCCGCTCTGAGAAGAGCATTTAGCACTCTCCACTATGAAGGGGACACTTCTTCTGCTGGCCTTTCTGGTGATTGGAGAGCTGGGCTTCCAGACAAGTGAGAGCGGGACCCTCGCTCACCCATCTCAGTCTCATGTAGATCTCTAAGTGGGGCCTGAGATAGATCTAGGGGTCCTCAGGAGGTCACTGGCGAGGAGCTTTAGAAGACCACTGATGCTTTCTGCTCAGGGTGACAACAGTTGGGTGGGTGGGACAGGGAGACAGAGGTGAGCTGGTGATGATGGTCATGGACCCCGTAGATACACAGTTGAAGCTGAGGCAAGTGTGTGGATTTCCTGAAGGTCAGATATGAAGTGTGTGTGAAGTGTGTGTCTTGTGGAAACCATGTTGTATCTGGGAGGCTGCTGCCTTTGGGAGGGCGAGGCTATGGGAAAGGTTAGTTAAGGCATTTGTAGATGTGGCAAGGAACCTTTAGCCTCTGTTTCTGCCAGCCTGTGGTCTTTTAACCATGTTTTTCTGCCTGTGTTTGCAGCGGAAGCATGCGTTCCTTTCTTCAAAACCTATGCTGCAGTACTCGCTCCAAGTAGGGCGTTATTGCATACCCAAATTTCGAAGTTTAATGCTATTGCCGAGGAAAGGGTGGCCTATGAAAAAATCCAGGACTGCTTCGGGAAGGGAAGAATTACAAACACGTTACTGAATCCCAAAATTTTGGTAATGTCCTTCCTAACCCCACTCATCCATGCAGCAAATAGTGGGAGGCTGTATACAAATGATCAGTGTGACCATTAATATGTGTCAGGTGACCAGCAACTGAAAACTAAAACCCATGCCTACCCTAGCACATGTCAATGCAGCATGCAGGTACACATCCAGCCTGGTCCGTGTATGATCCTGCGAGTCACTCCCACATGATGGGTAAACATGGGGTTCTCACCCATAGTAGGAACAGGGGAATCCTTGGTCTGGCTTCTCAACAGGTATGGCACTCCCAGGTCTACGCTAAGATGCCAGAAACTTCTGTCTATTGGACAGTGTCTGCTTTGGAACCTGCCTTGACTCTACTCCCGTGCCTCAGATGGAGCCCCCCCCCCTTCCACTGGCATCATCTGAGCTACAGCCAGAACCTCCCTCAATGGCTTAAATGCCACCCCACCCCCAGAGAGTGCCTGCAGCTGCTCACCACAGCTGTCTCCTGATATCTCTTGTTTCAAGCTTAACTGGATTCCAGAGATGTATATTACGCACAGTGCAGTTCTCACCCTGTTTCCCAAAGTACTTTTAGTTTGAGTGTCGGGTCCTTCAAAACCAAAAAGTTTTATCCAAAAAGGAATTTCTACCACACCAACATGGGGGAATGTATTTTTAACATGGCCGTGCAGCCAGTGTACCTGGAGACACGTCCTCAGGTATGGGAGACATCACCAAAACTCATACTCAGCTATCTTGTCTTTCTCTAGACAAATCCCACATCATGCCTTCCAGAACCTTCTTCTCTTCTCCCCTGCCTGGCTATGGCAGCTTTCAGGATTCCTCCTGAAGGCTGTGGGTGGACTCCAGTTCCCCTGAGGCAGATTCTGTTGCTGGATACTGAATCACTGCAGGAGATTTTCTTTCCTGTGGATGAGGAGTGGTCTCATCCTGGGTGCCTGGGGAGCCCTGCTGAGGTCCTACACTTTGCCTGTAACCACCTCAGTCCCTGTCTTTTTGTTTTCCAGGAATCCATGCTCGCCAGTAAGGAATGTGTGCGATACTATGCTGACGATACCCTTTCAAAAGTAAAGGACGTGTTAGGCACGTTATCACAGCTTTAGAAGTTAATGGGTTTCAGGCAACCCATCTCTGCAACATGTTTGACTCGAGAGCTATCTTGCTGACCTGTCCTGAAGTTGGATTCCTGACACCTGTGCCCCCCTCCTTCAGTCTCTCAGGCTGGTTCTAATAAATGCTTGCAGCTCTGTTCTGTGCCCCGTCTCTGTGCTGAATGAGAATCTTGTGAGGTCTTCAGAGGGTCCAGGAGACTGTGAGAGAAATGACTTGTGTGATCACTCAGAGCAGGGTGACTGCCCCTGACTAGCCATGTGATGATGGGAGAGCCACTTCACCCTTCTTTTTGGTTGCTCTTAAGCTCAGGGTGCCCTGTAACTCACAGAGATCCATGTGTGTCTTCCTCCCAGAGATCCATGTGTGTCTTCCTCCCAGATATCCATGTGTGTCTTCCTCCCAAGTGGTGGGATTGTAGGTGTGAGCCCCCACACTTAGTTTACTGTAGTTGTATGAGACTGTTGAGACTGGGGTTGTCTGATGGTAAATAGCATGTAAGCAGCCTCAGGCTTTACCAGGCTGGCAGGACAAAGGAGGTGCACAGACACTCACCTCTTGTGATGGCAACGGGCTTTATCACAAGACTGTGGGCACCTTATGTCCAGTTATATCAGTGGAGTAACTCAGGGGATGACATGGGTGTGCCTCTCAGATTCTCTTTGTTTGCTAGTGAGAGACACCATTTGTCACAGCCTGGTCAACATAGCAAATTCTGGACAGCCAGGTCTATATAGAGAGACTCTGCCTCAAAACAAAACCAAGGGGTTGGAGAGATGGCTCAGCAGTTAAGGGATGGCTGCTTTTCCAGAATTTTCGAGTTCAATTCCCAGCAACCACATGGTGGCTCACAACTTATCTGCGATGCCCTCTTCTGGTGTGTCTGAAGACAGGGACAGTGTACTCACATTCATGAAATAAATAAAGAGACCTTTAAAAGAAACCCAAAACTTAATAAGAAACAAACATTTTAATGCAGACAGAGCTAGGAGTTCATGTCCAATGAAAGGAAAAAGAAGGTTCAATGGGTAGAGTGCTCCTGTGTGTTATTGGGGACCTGAGTTCAACGCCCAGAATCCGTGTAAAGCCAGACTTGGCAGCATGTGTCTGTAGTCCTAGTGCTCCTGTCGAGAGATGAAGACAGGTGAATTCCAAGAAGTTTGTAGACCAGTTAGCCCAGCAGTTCACAAAGTCAGACTGCCGGAGACCTGTCCTAAACCATGGGTGAGGATTGTCCTCTGACCATACACACACTGTGGTATGTGCATGCCTGCTCTCACTCAAACACTCACACACAAAACAGCAGCCACACAGCTAAAAGGGAGAGGAATGTCAAGCAGTGTAAAGAAAAGTGATGAACTCCATTAGTCATAATGGACAGACAGCATAATAGCACAAGTCTTATTCTGTATAATAGTAGCAGAAATTGAGAAGACAAGTTGAACAGAGCAAGTGCTGGTGAGCAAGCTGAGGGACCGGAAGTCATACAAAGAGGAAACACTGCTCAGTGTGTGTTGGGAGCCGACTCTTAGCCGAAAGTGGCTATCATCTTTACAGCCATCTCGAGCCATATACCCTGACAAGAGACTTGTTTCAACAGCCTGCAATAGCTGAGCGCACTCTGATAAACATCTTGTTACACTGTTTAGTGCCCCCAGCTGCCAGGTGCTCCTGGTATCCATGGCTACAAGGCACGTGACGTAGTGGCTTCAGTTGAGATTGTCCACGAGGGCAAGTCACGTGGTAAAGGGTATAAATACCCAGGATTTCCCTTCTATAGGGGAGTAGGGGAGTAGAAAGTAGGAGGTAGAAAGTAGGAGGTAGAAAGTAGGAGGTAGTAGGAAGAAGTAGAGGAGTACAGGAGACTGAAGGAGTGAGAATATAGTAAGAAGACAAGAGAATAAAAAAGACTTAAAGAGACTCCACCGGACTCTGGCTTGTATCTATCTTTTGCGTCTCTCGCCCCTTTTTTCCCCTTCCTCCGTCCCCACGTTCTCTCTTGCTAGACCCTGACCTGCCGACCGGAACAGCAGAACCGGCCGGCCTTTACAAAGTAACAGAACCTGACGGCCGTTACAAAAGAAACGGCAGTTACAAGTGTGTAAGATTGACAAGCATGGGGACTTTCATCTGTTTCCTGATGTGACATGAAAATACCTAAGAGGGCTGGAGAGGTGGCTCAGCGGTTAAGAGCACTGACTGCACTTCCAGAGGTCCTGAGTTCAAATCCCAGCAACCACATGGTGCCTCACAACCATCCGTAATGAGATTCGATGCCCTCTTCTGGTGTGTCTGAAGACAGCTACAGTGTACTCATAAATAAAATAAATAAATCTTTTTTAAAAAAAAAAGAAAATACCTAAGGCTTCCTAAGGAAGGCTGGCTGGTCCTTAGGAAGACCAAATGACCTCCCCAGGGACAAAGCTCTCACAGGCAAACCAATGACTCATGAGTCTAGTATGGCTGTCCTCTGAGAGGCTCCACTCAGCCTCTGACTCAGACAGATGCAGACACCCACAGCAAAACAGTGGATGCTGCTTGGGTACTCCTATAGAATATGGGCAAGGAGTGCTGGCCCCAAAGTGAATAGGAAATCTACAGTAAGACCAACAGAGTCAACTAGCCTGGACCCCTGGGGCTCTCGGAGACTGAACCACCAACCGAAGAGCACACAGACTGGACCTAGGCCTCCCTGCACATATGTAGCAGATGTGCAGCTTGGTCTTTATGTGCGTCTGGAACAACTGGAGTGATGGCTATCCTGAAAGCTGTTGCCTGTCTGAGGGATATGTTCTTGTAGCTCGGCTGCCTTGTCTGGCCTCAGTGGGTGAAGATGTGCCTAGCCTTGGAGAGACTTGATGTACCCAGGGGGATACCCAGAGGGGGTGCCCCACCTGTTCAGACAAGAAGGGGAGGGGAGGATGAAAGGATTGTGGGAGGGGGCAGTGATCAGGAAGTGAAGTGAATAAATAATAAATGAGTGAATTAATTAATAAAACAAACAAAATAGAACAACAACCAATAACAAACAAAAAAAGCGGCTACCCTTAGGGCGGAGGAAGAGCAATTGCACCTGTGAGGTTTCTCTCCAATATGTGTTCTATGGTGCTGAAAAAGCATTAATTTAAAGCTAAATAGTTTCCTGTACTCACTGCCTTTGTAAGGCCGTTCTCCAGTGTGAACTCTTTTTTTTATTTTTTTGGTTTATTTATTTATTTTTTTTTTGGTTTTTCGAGACAGAGTTTCTCTAAGTGTGACCTCTTTAATGGGGATTAAGGGTGAGTCTTTGGCTAAAACATTTCCCACAATGAATGGATTCATGTGTAGTAAAAATGATCAAAAATCTCATGCTTGAACCCTGCCCAGATCACCGAGTTGAGATGAAAGCCACACGGCCTTTATATTTACAATAGGCCTTAAACAGTACAACAGTTGGGCAGCTGCCTACCCTCATGCTGCTAGAACCTACTTTCCTACTGATAACCCTAGGTTATTACTTATTATTTACTTATGTTCCATCTGAGCTGCTCTTAACTCCAACTGGCCAGCCCTCAGGGCCACATTTTTATGGCTCAGCTAACCCATGGCTGCTTCTCCTTTCTCCTCTCCTATACGGTCTTCTTCCTCATGGTCCCAAACACGGAAAAGCTCAACACCCACCTATGCCACTTCTGTCCAGCTATTAGCTCTTGGCATCTTTATTTGCCAATTACAATTAGCCAGGGTGCAGGGTCACTCAGAATCTTATGTGCAGATAGATTTTCTTGTCTTTGGGGAAACCAGTCTTGGGGTTGCCAAATTAGCATTAGAGTACCAGCAGCAGCAGGTCAACCAACTACATTCATGTGGCTTTTCACCAGTGTGAGCTCTTTGATGTGAATCAAGGCCAGAACTTTAGCTGAAGAATTTGCCCAATACGGTCCACCAATATGGTCTTTCTCCTCTGGGGGATTCTTAGCTGACTGACCAAGTTAAACTCAATTAAGAAAAAAATGTCTGTTTTGATTTGTAACAACGTCTATCCCTTACATTTTTGAAAATTAAAGGGCAAAAAGCAATCTGAAAAGAAGTCCTGAGAACATCCTTGTGGAGAGCTTTTGGGCCCACTTCTAGAAACTTGGCAGGAACTTGACATTGGGCCAGGACACAGAAGCTCAGGCAGGAATCTGATTTTGGGCTAGAACAAAGAATTAGGCTTTAGGCAAGAATTTGACTTTGGGCTAGGACAGGGAAGTAGGCTCAAATATCTTGGTCATTCTGATAAGTCCTAGAAACAGCAATCCTGGGACTTTGTTTATTTCCTTTCTTGTTCTGTAACCTAGAACCAACCTTATTATCTGCATGTAATTAAAATGGTATAAAAGCAAACTGGGAAAAAATAAATCTACTTCAGCCTCAGAAGCAGCTTAATCCTCACTCCTTCCCTGGAGAACATGTTGACTGACTGAGCTGGCTTGGTCAGATGGTACCTCAACATTAGAGCTCCAGTAAGCAGGATACAGTGAAGGACACTACTGCAGGAATAGGAAGCATGTGCAGAGGAAAGTAAAAGAAAATTTGGGCAGCAATGAATAAACCTTGTAAAAAGGGACAAAGTAATGGTAAATTTGTGTGTGTGTGTGTGTGTGTGTGTGTGTGTGTAGAATTATGCTTAAATCTAGGGAACTGAAATTCTCATAGATGCTTTTAGTCTTTGGACCCTGGCTAGAGATAGTTTACACGCTAGACATGAGAGAGAATGGGTTTGATAACAGCAGTCCTCCCTTACTATCTGGGGATGCTTTGGTGAAAGAGAAGGAAAATTAATATAGGCTGTTCTAGAGCTCTCCTAGGGACAGGAGGAGGTTGGGTGAGGTTCTGCTTCCCCTCTGGCTCCTACTGGAAGAATCCTTAGTTCTGGTGCTGGGTCTCTTAGGTAGGATATCTAGGTCATTTTGGTGACATATCTAGTTCTTTTCCCTGTCTGTCTATTGTCTGTCCTTGGTGCACCAATCTGTCCATGTCTGCATTTTCATTT